TTCTTGTGAATTGGGCAAAGTACACTGAGATTCCATTCTTCGGGCATGTATTCATCAGCCAAATTCTGCTTAAAAGCTGGTACATACGCCCCACCAACTCTTCGCCACCGGCTTTGAACAGCTCAGCCGGTATACCGTCGGCTCCGGGGGCTTTGGGATTCTTAAGCCGCTTTATTGCTGTTCTCACCTCGTCTTGGTCCAGTTTAGGGACGTGAGCTTCGTCCCTATACATTGGTTCGGGTTCTCCTTCATCAAACGCGCCATCTGTTTGGCCATTTAAAAGCAATGAAAAGTGTTCCCTCCATATCTCAAGTGTACTATGGACATCTGTTACCAGGTTTCCATCTTCATCTTTGCAGGAGCTAGCCCCGGTCTTAAAACCATTTGATTGCTGCCTTATTTTCTGATCAAATTTTCGAGCCGCGCTCCTGTCTGCCAGCATTTCAAGCTCCTCGCACTCACGCCTTTCTGCCTCTCTTTTCTTTCTCTTCCCTCCTTTTCTCCCGGTAACGCTCAATTGGCGCGCGTGTCGCCATTGGCTGAAGGGTAGCTTTGCCCCAAAACCTATACCTGCATTCGTTATACTGCACGTAAACAAGAATGATAGATGTATTCTCTCAATCGTGGCACGTAAACGTACCATAAAAAGGAAGAGTATAAAATCAATATATCCTGACGAATTCGCCGCGATTTGTTACGATTAGCTCCGCGCATTATAGCCAAAGATTTACATATGTATATATATGTCTTCGTCAGTGTATCAGCTGATTAGATTTTTTTCCTACTACATAGTACGTACATACGTGGGAAGAATATTTTCCCAAAAGCAAAAAAAAAATAAACTAGAAATTCCAGCACTCTCTGGTGTTTAAAGAACTAAACATATCTTAACAAATTTAGGAGGTACTAAATTTGGGACTTCGAACCAAATTCTTAAAAAATTTAAGCAATTTAAGAAAAAAGAGGGGGTTATTAATTCGTCCGAATACTTTTTTATGTATGTTACTGCATAACTGTTGACAACGTTAACCGATTTCGATACTTCGATTGGGAAGGTGGCACTTCAAGGGTGGTCCCATTTGGTTTAGATCTGATCATTGCATCATGAAGAATTTATCGATTCTGCTAAATTCTATACGCGAAATGAAGTCGGTTGTGTCTTTTGCTTAAAAATTACTTCTAGTTAAATACTATATTTAGTAAAATCCAAACGCCTTAATTTTTTGAAGTCTCTTCATTTTTGAAGGTTACAGTTTTTTTGGTCGGGGTGCATAATTTCCGCAATTTAGGGGAAGGAAAATCATAGCGCCCACAATTTAGACTTTAGAGTTTTTTTTTGAGTCATGTTCTTCTAATAGGCAGTATAATTACGCTTTCATAGGATGTGCGTCATTCCATAAGGATAATATTTATATGGGCATTTCCAGGGAGGGGTCTTTATAGTTAAAAATTAAAAGTGATATATCTATGTTAAGTAGTTATGGTCGAATCTGTTTTTTTTTCATGTATATTTGTTACATATGCTGGAATATTTTCGCAAAAAATATTTCCATTAGGTGGCGTCGGGGTCGAAAGCCCGTATTTATAGACTGGTTTTGTTAATATTCGCGATATGTATTAGTTCCATAGTAATATACACTCTAAAAAAAAATTTTGTAGATTTCCTACCTAAAAGGTAGGTTACTGATTTCCTACCTTATTATTCGCGAAATTACATGCTCGATTATTCAACGAAGAGTTTGTTTAAATTTCGGACTTTTTAGAGTCCTTAGCAGCTATAAGGTGTGCGTAAATTTACTAAGAAAGTGTGTACAAGCTACAAAATACACATCTGCTGTTTGATTTCACCCTTAGAATTGTGTAAAGTCACTAACAAGAAGGATTTTTACACACGAAAATGTGCAAACGAGAAAAATACATATTCATCGTGTAAACTTACCAAAAAAATTTAAAAATAAACAAAAATATACTCGATTTATAGTCGCATTTTTAAACAGATTTTTTAGATTTTATTTCTAATGTTTTCGCACCTTTTTTCCGGCAGTTTCCAAATTTTTCATTAAATATAGTGTTTCAAAAAGCTATGCAAAGATCAAAAAAAAATTAAATTATTTATTTTTCTGCACCTTAAAGTCGTCCGACCATACCATACCATAGACCACAGCTGCATCACTCCATAAGCACTTGTAGCACATTTGGGTTAGTTTTGCCTTGAAGTATAGGCACATATACAAATTAACACTTTAAATATAAAAAAAAATTGCATCGCCACAATTCATATGAAAGTGCCTGAGTTTCACACAATTAGAAGGGCAAAGTAAATGCCCTCCCATATGAAGCTCAGGCACTCCAGTAAAATGTACAAATTTACACAAACAAATATAGAATGAAAAAATAATAATAAATATGTCAGCACTGAAAAAAAATCTACATATATGATAAATTGATTTAATATTCGTATGTCGACTACTGAGTGGAAGATCNCAAAATAATAATAAATATGTCAGCACTGAAAAAAAATCTACAAATATGATAAATTGATTTAATATTCGTATGTCGACTACTGAGTGGAAGATCGACCTTTCTCGGCAGCCAGTTCGATAACGCCCTATTTCAAAAACCATTTCAAGGACGCTCTATTTTAGAATTTTCAGTAGTAGGTATACACATGTAACCATAAGTGGGCGTGGCTACGCCCATTTTCAATTTTTTTTTANTTGTCAAGGATGCTCTATTTTAGAATTTTCAGTAGTAGGTATACACATGTAACCAAAAGTGGGCGTGGCTACGCCCATTTTGAAAATTATTGTAAATATCAATTTTGAGTGAATTATCTTCAGTAGTTACTAAAATATCGCAGTTTTTGTATTTCTGGAAATTACCGTTATATGGGATAAGGGCGTGGTTATTGTCCGATTTTCAAAATTTTCGGCCATTTAGTATGCTGCATCATGGCCAACAACTGTGCCAAGTTTTGAAGAAATTGGTGCAGAGGTTACCAAGAAATACACATGTAACCATAAGTGGGCGTGGCTACGCCCATTTGCCAAAAATTTATAATATTCTTATTTTTCGTCTAAAACTTATTATAAATATCAATTTTGAGTGAATAATCTCCAGTAGTTACTAAAATATCGCAGTTTTCGTATTTCTGAAAATTACCGTTATATGGGAAGTAGGCGTGGTTATTGAGCGATTTTAAAAATTTTCGGCCAGTTGGTATGTTGTGCGAAGGCCAACAACTGTGCCAAGTTTGGAAGAAATTGGTGCAGCGGTTACCAAGATATACACATGTAACCATAAGTGGGCGTGGCTACGCCCATTTTCCAAAAATTTATAATATTCTTATTTTTCGTCTAAAAATTATTGTAAATATCAATTTTGAGTGAATTATCTTCAGTAGTTACTAAAATATCGCAGTTTTCGTATTTCTGGAAATTACCGTTATATGGGAAGTGGGCGTGGTTAAAGTCCGATTTCGCCCATTTTCAATACCAACCTACGCAACCTACCTTGGATCAAGGGAAACTTACATACCTCATATCTAATTTTTTTTGCTCGAGTTATCGTGTACACGGACGGACGGACAGACGGACAGACGGACGGACAGACAGACATGGCTTAATCGATTTCTTTTTTCATCCTGATCATTTATGTATACATTTGTCTATATCTATCTCGATTCGTTTTGGCTGTTACAAACAACCGTTATGTGAACAANTCATATCTAATTTTTTTTGCTCGAGTTATCGTGTACACGGACGGACGGACAGACGGACGGACGGACGGACAGACAGACATGGCTTAATCGATTTCTTTTTTCATCCTGATCATTTATGTATACATTTGTCTATATCTATCTCGATTCGTTTTGCAAACAACCGTTGTGTGAACAAAATTAATATACCCTTGTGCACAAGTGCGCTCGGGTATAAAAAAAACTTATTTGTTAGCTTCACTTAAATTACAAAAAAAATGTCAGTGTACGCATAAATTTTGTAGATTTATAGTAGAAATAGAAAAATTTTAAAAAGCCCTGCCATAGACGAATACGAGTAAGCTAATTGGGACCCCGTAGCGAATGTCATGCATTAGTCACTTAAGAGTCTTGTACGGAAAAGTTACGTCTTAAATGACTTTGGGCTCCGTTTGTATAGAAGTCGTTCATGACTTTTTCATATAAATGTTAATTTCGTCGTTGAGGTCATCTGCATGACTTTGTCGTGCAGAGATCATTAATGACATTCAAGCGACAATGTCCTGCAATAGGCTTTCCATAAGTGACCGCTGCAAGACATTGTCTGTTATAAGTCTTTGATAGGAGTACCTGTACCAGCAGTTTAAACTTTGAGATAAAAGTTCATTTGACACGCAAAAATTATTCGATGCCAAGCGTTCATTGTAGCAAGCACTGACGTANAAGGATTCACAGCAAGTGTGACGATGTCACCAAATCCTCATTAGTGACGATGTCACCGTAATTTTCCACAGATTTTACTTTAGTTGTATTAGTTAGTTATTAAGTTATAATCCCTATTTACATTTGCCAGCAGTTTAAACTTTGAGATAAAAGTTCATTTGAAACGCAAAAATTATTCGATGCCAAGCGTTCATTGTAGCAAGCACTGACGTAACTCGCGCTGCTGTCGAAGAGACGCAAACGTCAAAGTTGTATGTGGACGGGCCTTTACAACTTTGGCGTTGGGTTGGTGTTGGCGTTGGCGTTGGCGCGCCTCGACAGCTGACTATGAAAATATAAATAAGTTCATACATTTATTACCTGGCGAAATACGAATTGAAATATTGTTGCATGGTCTTTCTGTAAAATTTAAATTTATAGAAGTGTTTAAATTTTCTTGTTGCTGACTAATTGCTAAACAATTGCTTTTTAATCGCTCCCAATGAGGAAAATTTAAGGGGATCTAAAAGTTTAACTTTGTAGTAAATTTGCAATAATTATGAGATGGAAACGGTATAAAATAAGAGGCTTAGGGGTTTGTTTTATCCGGGTAACTTTCGACAAAATATATTAGGGTTTGACTCATTTTCTTATCATCTCTGTAGATATTTTGTGAACGCCGGATCCTAAATGTGAAATGCACCTCAGAGTCGTATTCAAAAGATCATTATGGTCATCCGAACAGCCGCCTGGGCCCTGTACCACTGTAAAGGTCGGCCGGTATTACTTTTATGTATGTATTTGTATTTTAAAAATAAAAATGCATAATTCTCTACAAGACTCACCTTATTTGAGTAGCCATTGAATTTGAGAAGTTTCTTGCAGGACTTTCCCCGACTCTCGAAATAGACTTCCTGGGGCGTACGACGTGACTGCGGACGGCACGTGTTACCTGCTTTGCATACCGACGAAACAACAGTTGCGTCGCAAAGTGGGGCCGGAGCAGTCGTGTGTAAAGTTTGTTGATTTCCGACGATGGGAAGGCTATTGAAATTATGATAGTCAGCACTGCCCGTTTTAGCTGTGCTGGCGCCACCAGCGAAGATCAGCCGGCCGAGAATACCACAGCAACCAATCCGACGAGAGGGAGGGGAGCCAGAAACTACCGGACGCACGGCAAATGATGATGTGCTGTTGTTGTTGTTAAGTTTGTTGTTGATACTATAGGAGCCTGCTGAAATGGTCATCAGTTCGATGGCACTTGTTTTCCGCAGATTAACATCAATTTCCATGGTCGGTTTCAATGCGCCCGTGAGAGAGGATTCGACCCGTAATAAAGGTGCAGGTACTCTGTGTTTCGGTGAAAATTGTTTGGGGTTACTTTATGGGTTTTGTAAATCAGCACTTAAAAACTCGAATGTATTTGATTATGATTTTTGTTAAACTCAGCGTGGTCTCTATGCGCCACACAATAGCCGTAATCTAATTTTTTATGTGTTGATGAATCCGAGCTCTTCTCTTTTGATTTTGCCAAGCTTCAATATTTATGAACTCACCACAGCTTTACTGTTTGTTTTCAAGTTTGGCTTAGTCAAAACATTACTAAAATTTGTTGAATCGAGGAAGTAATTTCAAATGTGTCCTTAAACATACATATATTTATTCAGATAAAAAGTAAACTCCGGACGGTGTTTGGTTAGCCAAGATTTGTGGTGGTTGTCTGCTTACTCTCTATACAGCATATTTTTAGATGTTTCTATTAGATTTGCTTTATCTTAGCTACTTTTACTTTGTTGTAGTTTTTGGTTTCATACTCGTTGCTTTCTATCGCATTACGTCTGCGTGAGCACATTTCCTATTTGTTTGGGGGATATCAGCTCTCACTTACACTTTGCAATCAATTTACAGCTTTGTAAACTTTTTTTGGGGAAAAAATTGAATGCTCCAAGAATTCAAATGATGTTCTTAATTTATCAACATATCAAGGTGCGTCTCAACCAAGGTTGAATTTAAGGTTTTAAAAGTACAGTTTTATAGCTTATAAAAATTCTAAACCTAAATTCATATAGACAGGGCTTTTCGAAAAAGCGACTCTGCTTTTTTTCCATTACTTCTTAATACGTGATGCAGAAATGCATCTAGATGCTATAGGAATATTTCTGCATCAAAAATAAAATTTTGAAACAAAAACTTCGCTAACGTTATTTTGTCGGTTAGGGCTCGATATATAATCATGTGCGGTCATAGGTTTCTTAATCATTCATTGTTTACAATTAATTGTAAACGTGTATTAAAATTTCTTCAAGTAAAACGTGCCGTTTCCATATATATAACTACAGTCCGATCGATTAATCGGCCTCGGCATCGGTGTTTGTTGTATACCAGCTAGACTTTATATTAAAAATAATAAACATTAAATTAAGAAGACAAATGCCAAATGCCAAATCCGGCCAAAATATGTATGTACATACATACATACCTAGCATATAAGTTCTACTGCATTGTGTGCAAAAGAGAGTATTTTAGTACAAAACGAAATAAAATTTTATAACATAACATAAATGTGATATATGTACATATATCTTTACACATACATACATATGTAAACCGCCTCAAACCGCCTCCCGACGAAATACTTGACGGTGGTACCGGGGGGATCGGTACGTAGACGGTAGGATGTTTAGTGGGTTAAAGTCTCACACTGACTGGTTTGGGGTTAAGGCTTTCGTTGCTTCCTCCTCTGAAAAAAATACGTATGTATGTTTGTACATACATTTGTATGTAAAGTTGCATAACAAGCCAATTAATTCAATTATTTTTTTTCTTTTGCTATGTTAATTCCGTTAAATAAACTGATTTTATGCATTAATACATTTATTTGTAATTTTTTATGGAATCGGCATCGGTATCGGTACCTGAAGAAAAATTGGAGTCGGGCGGACTTTATTTAGAACTTCCCTCTACTTACTAAACTAAATTTATATTTTGCTATTAGTTAAGATTGTCTTTTCAAATGGAACCATTTAGTTTGCATGGTGACAGGTAATAAGGTCAATGGAAATAAGTTCAATTGACTTTATTTCCCACCCTGGTGCGAAAAAAGTCAACAAAAATTTGGAAATAAAGTCATTGACGCTATTTCCTCATTCAAATGGAAATAGCGTCAACAATGCTTAAAGTATGTCGATTCATAGAAAAAAATTTGTTCTTACAATAAACATTGCCCCGTAAGTGTTGTTTTTTAAAGCTTTTATTTAACTTGGTCATCCCGCGCAAATCGCGGAAATTTCTAATCGATTTTAAACTGACTTCCCGACAAGTTAGAGACTTGAAATTTTCAGCATAGTTCCAATCACGATGACAATGGAATTTAAAATATAAATGAATTCCCCATATGGAGCAGGGGTCTAGATTCAAAGGTGGTCAACAAATAGTAAGATTTATGGCTAACAGAGCGTAATTTGCCAAAGAACGTAAAACCACTATAAAATTGTTAAAGCTGCCGGCGCGCCGCGGCGGTAGTGTAGCAAACCTATTTGTAGCAAATTCTAGACTCCAGATGTCGCCCCGCCAGAAGCAGTTAAATATTCCGCCTAAATATATGCCATGCTACAGCGGAAATGGACGACACGCCATTTCTTTAAATAAAATTAGCTGCTGCTATATGTACATATGTATGTTTACACAAAACGTAAGCAAATAACATTTTTCTTGCCAAGTCTTCTGTTCTCTTTCATTGCAAGTTGAATTATTTTAATATCCATTGCAAAATTTTGTACATAAAATAAAATAACACTTTTTAATATACAACGCTTTTATAAATGGACTAAAAATTATAAAATAAAATAATGTAAAACAAATATTTTTTAAAAACAAGCTTTTATTTAACCTGTACAATCAAAGGAATAAAATGAAGTAGTGTAACAAAAGATTTTTTAGCAAGAAAATTTTGTCAAAACTGCACTAAAATGAATAAAATAAAATAAGTTAAGGTCTCGTTAAAGTTACTAAAAGCCATTTAGTGAAAGGGGTTANAATAAAGCCCCATTTTCCAAACAAAAGTGCAATGATAAAATAAGATAAACCAGTTGAATAGCCTTTATAAATTAGAAAATTTTAGTTATGAAAAAGAAATGCACGCAAAGGATTTCAGAAAAATGTATTGAAATGTAACTTTTTTTTACACAAGTGCCATTTTGGCACTTTGTGCCAAATTGAAAAATTAGATGCCATTTGAAGTAAAATGGGGCAAATGGGCCGGTTTGAGCCAAGTTGGCATCCCTGCTTCGAATTACTTACAAATATAAAAATGTGAAATTTTGAGGGCTTGAATTCATTAATACCCTCTATCAGCAATTTGCTCAAAAACTAATTTGTGATTTTAGAAACCATATGGGACTTATTACCTGTCGATATATAAGGTAGCATTAATATCACTGATGACAGTTAAAGCTTAGGTGGATTTTTATATCAGAATCTCATCTTTGTGAAAAGTGTGCAGATAGAGGGTATTATTGAATATAAGCCCTCGATGTTTAAAATATATAAAAATTTTATTTCAACGTATACAAAAAATAAATCTACCTGCGTTACAGCACGGTGGGAGAAGGGGAAGGGGGGCCGGGGGGGCCGTGGCGTAGCGGGCCGCCGTTAAGCTAAGCAAATTTAATGTTTGAAAGAGAAATAATGTCAAGGGATTTTATTTCGTTTTTAAAAGGGTAATAATGTCAATTGACTTTATTTCGCATCAGGGTGGGAAATAAAGTCAATTGACCTTATTTCCGTTGATATTATTTACTGTCACCGTTTACACACATGTGTTAATAACACAAATACATTTTTTTCCTGGGTATTGGANATATTAATAACACTGTACGGCAAAATACATTTTTTTCCTGGGTATTGGACCAAACCAATTTTTTTAAGAGATTTCGTCATAGGTAAAACAGTAATTTCTCCGTTTTTCGAAGTTGGCCTCCGAAATAGAGATATGGGCCTTCGAAGTTCGAAATAAGACCTTTGTTAAAAAATTATATTTAATTATTGCATGTAAATAACTAAAAAACACAAAGTTCGGTACTTCGAAAAATTAAATTCCCTATATTGCAAACAATTTGAAGTGATTTTTAAAAAATGTATATAGTTGCAAAGACGAGTAAATCCCCTTTGTTCTAATATGTATATTTGTATACTTCGTATATAAATATTTGAGATAAAACACATTTAAAGAAAAAATACCTTTTTTTATAAAAAAATATTTTAAACGAAAAAATTACTAACTGACTTTTAAAAGGTTAGTATCGCTATAAAGGCGAATTAATCCCCTTTCTTTTGATATGTATATTCGTATGTCTTTACTCAAATTTTTATGTACGAAGTATACAAATATGCATATCACAAGAAAGGAGGTTAAATCACCTTTACAACAATATGAATTTTTTAAAAATCACTTAAAAATTTTCTGAAATATTAAGTTATTAATTTTTCTAAGATCTGACCTTTGACCCGTTATAGCACCTGTAATATAAGTTTTCACAAAAAAAATTATATACCATATAAATAAGAGCAAAAGGCGGACCACGTCTGTATTTTTACTTTTTTTTGCTTTTTACATGCAATAATTAAAATTAGTTTTTTAGCAAAGGTCTAATTTCGAGCTTCGAAAGCCCATATCTCGATTTCGGAGGCTAACTTCGAAAAACGGAGAAACCACTTTTTTACATATGACTCGGTCTCTTAAAAAAAGTTGGTTTGGTCCAATACCCAGCCGAGTGCTGTACAGTGTAAGGACTTATCAACCAACTACATTAAAATTTCGAAACAAAATTTTCTAGGGATTTTTTTTTATATTACATACAAGGTTCTGCCGACGAAATTTACTGAAGCCCTTCATGGACCAATGATTTGCCCTTATCAGTGTGTCTTTAGACCATTGAC